TAATAGCCACATGGGAGAGCTTGGAAGTGGACCTTCCAGCCACACTCAAGTCTTTAAAGGCCGTGGCCGCAGCCAACAGCTTGGCTGCAACCCCATCAGAGACCTGTGCCAGGACCCTTCAGACTCCTGACCTTCAGAAGTTGTGGAACAATAAATGTTTGTTGTTTAAAGCAGATATGGTTTGGAGTATTTGTTATGCAACAATAGAGAACTAATTAAATCATATCTAGAGGCAAGGCGGTCTTCTCTTATTCCTGCCCCAGGCCCAGTGTCCCCACCAGAGGAAGCACCCTGTGAGAGTTCATTTATACAACCCATTCACATTCCCTGTGGTGCCGAGTTGCACCAGGTCTTGTGCTGAGGACTGGGATGGGGCTGAGGGCAGCAAGGATATGGTCTTGGTCCTCAGGGGGTTCCCAGTCCACTGGGAGACAGAGGAGACCACTTACCCATTAATGACCCTGTCCTTTTCATCCCATAGATAGCCTAAAAGAGGGGTGACTAACTCTCATTCAGGGCAGTGGGGTGGGAGAGCAGGGTTTGAGGGTGGATGAGATGTGCCCAGGTTTGACAAAGGTGGTGATCTTTGGGGGTGAGGGATTTTGTTTTTTAAACTGAAGCTGAATGTTTTATTATTAAACTTTATTTCCCTGCAAGGCTGCTGCTTCACTGTATAAAAATAGCACCAGCAAACTCAGTATATTGCAAAATTAAGATAATATTGTTCGTCATCTGACACTGTAACAACTAACAACAACTTTTCTCCACTGCCAGTTATTTCCAATGAAAAGGTCATTAAATATTTTGAACCAAATCCAGACAGGGATGTAACAAGTTCCAATATCATATAAGACTTTAGATAACAATGTTATCCTTCAATTACATAATTTTATAACTAGATTTTACCACCCGTCATTTCAGGAATTCTGAATGTTATACCGGTAGCCTAGCCTAAAAGTCACAGGGTGTTGTGAAAAGATACATATTGTGTTTATCTGCAATCACTAGAAAGTTAAGGGGTCTTTTCTCCCAACAACATTGTTATAGTTTCTTTTTCCACTGTTATTACTAAATGTTGCTATTCCAAATCTTCTCTCCACCACTAATTTCAGACCATTATGCTAGATCAAGTTGTTTCATCCTACTTTATTTAGGGGGTTCCATTTCACTCCTCCATGGATTTTATGTATTTCTCACCTGCTTCTCTCATTAGTCCATCTAGTTTTTCAGGGTTACTCGGTGTCATCTTGATCAGTCAACCGCCTTCATAACAAGATATGTTAACAAGTCCTGGATTTTCTGCAAAAGCTTCATTCATTTCAGTTACTTCTGATCGAGGAGAACAGAGTTCACTAGCAGCTTTCACACTTTCCAAAGCACCAAATTCATCTCGTCTGTTCAATTTTGTCCCAATTTCAGGCAGACTACAGTAAACATCTCCCAAAGCTTCCTGTGCAAAATTGCTGATTCCCACTGTTTCAATAGCACTTTCTGTTGTTACCCATTCATGTTTCTCTATGAATTTACGCAGCCCAGAGAGCGGACCCGGAGGACGAGCAGCATCAGGACTGTGGCCACTCCTGGGCCCCGGGGGCCGGAACCGAGGCCGGCGAGCAGGCCCGCAGCCGGCACTCAGCGCCACTCCCAAGGCCGTGTTCGCCGTGGGGGTGGGGGGGGCGGCCGTGGCCCAACTCCTCGGCCACCCAGCCGGCCTGGGATGATGTTGTCCTGGCCTGTGCCGCAGGACACAGCAGGTCCGAGGACCAAGTGTGTCCAGAGAGCGGTGAAGGGCGCAGGCCGTGATGCGATGCGGGGAGAAGGTGCAGGTAAGGTGGCGGGGGAGGCTGAGAAGGGCCTCCAGTGCCAGGCTGAGAAGGACTTTAGCCCTCTCCCGAGGCACTGGAGACCAATTTTTGTTCGAGAGAGAACATGGGCGCTGCGTGTGGGTGGGCCCGAGAGCCCTGGAGGCAGGCCCATCAGTGGGCAGTGTTTGCCCAGGGACCACCCAGGGTGCTGAGTGGTGTGCAGAGGAAAGGGCAGTCTGGGAAACCCCGAACTCAGCCGGAGGCACTGGGGAGGGCTTCCTTGAGTAGGTGACAGGGATAGGGAGGGATGAGTAGGAATGATCCAGACACTGGGGGAGGTGGAATGTGGGAGATGGCATTCCAGGCAGAGGGAACATCCAGGGCAAAGCCCAGAGGCGACAGAGAGCAAGGCTGGCACATGGAAGTGCAAATAGTTCAATCTGAGGAGAGGGAGCCTAAGGCTGAGGGAGGAGAGATGAGGACAGGAGGACTGAGCCAGATGGTGGAGAGTGGCTAAGGGCCAGCTAAGGAGCTTGGGCTTCGATGGGGACACCTTCTGTCTTCTGTTGACCCCTTCGGACCTCCACTGGTGTCCACCCTGCTCCTTCCTGGGAGACCTACCTGCGTGGACGGCAGCCACAGGCCCTCAGGCCCTCTAGCTTCCAACTGGGTTCAGGCAATAGGGAGCCTTGGCAGGAGATGGAGCGGGGAGAGGGGTGGGAACGCTTACCTGCCTCCTTCCCTGCAGTAGTGGCCCCTGACCATGATTCTCCTGATTCAAGTACCTACCGCCTCCACTGTCCTTCCGGGCCTCGGGGTGCTAGCAGCGCCCTGCCACGCTGCCGGGCCCAGCCCTGGCTTGGCGCGCAATCCTGCGTGCGTTCCCACACCTCAGCAATTGTTCTTTAATCAACTCTCCTCAAACTGTCCTCACTCCAGTATATTGTCTGTCCCTGCTGGGATCCAGGATGATGCAGATTCTAGGAGCAATGGAGAGCCACAGAAGGATTCTGAGTAGGGACGACGTGGTCGGATTTGCGTTTTAGACAGCTCACGGTGGCTGTGCATGGAGGATGGATGCGGGACAGCGGGACAGGGATGGGCAGCGATGTGGAGGCTGAGCTGTCACACAGGGAATTCCTGTGTGACGTGGGGAGGCGCGGTTCTGACACAGGCTTTCATTGATAACTTTTTTTAGATTGTTTGCAAATGTGGCCACAAGAATCCCCCCATGTGTCCCCAGCCTTTTCTATTGTGACATTGCTGCTCCTCCCATGAAGAGGTGGAGTCTGTTCCTCTCCCCTTGAATCTGGGAGTCTCGTGACTTGTTTTGACCGGCACAATGCAGTAGAAGTGATGCTGTGCATGTGTGTGTGGCCCGGGACTTAAGAGACTGCACTCTTGCTCTCATTCGTTTGAAATCCAGCCACCATTGAATGCTAAAAATGGGTCAGTATAGAGAAGCCCAGCAGGTCTACCCCCAGCTGTCCCAGCCCAGCCGACCCAGCGCCGAGCGGCTGCATGAGCCCAGGCAAGACGAAGCAGAGCCACAGCCAAGCCACAGAACTGTGGGAAGCAGTGAGTCTTCTGTATTCAGCCATTACATTTTGGAGGGGTTCATCACCCAGCAACAGATCAGTGCAGTGGGCAGGCACTGCTCTCCTTGGCAAGTCTTGTCCTTCCTTCAGGGCCCTGCCCCCTGCCTCTTCCTCCAAGTCTCCCCCTGGCTGGAGATCATAGCTCCCTGCTCTGCACCTCACTGCTCCTCACACCCGCTTCTCTTGTGACCTGTACACACACTGCCTCCCAGGATAACAGGCACACCGTGAGACACAGGGACACTCATCTCTTGACAGGACATAGAGTGGCTTATGATCTTAAAATAATATCTTCTTATGCTCACAACACTGCAGGTGGATATTGTAATCCTTATTTTTCAGACGACAAAACTAAGGTTTAGAAGGGGATGTGATTGGCCCAGAGTTACTCTACTCCTAAGGGATGGGCCAGGATTTGAACCCAAATTTACGCTTCTCAAAATGTCCCATGTTGAAGTTGTTGGTATGACCCGCTCCTGGAGGGAAAGGCCCTGTTTCCCTGCTGGAGAATGAAGGAGAGTCACAGGACCTGGTCTTACCCAGCCATCCTGTCCCTTCGGGTCTGTGCCAAACTCAGGGACACAGAATCCTTTCCACCAGGGAATCTAGGGAATCTGTCCCCATCTCACCCACCCTGCAGGCACATATTAACACCCACTCATTCATTCTCTGTCCTGGTCTGCCCTGTGTCTTAACATACCGTTCCCCTTTTCCCAACAGAACAGGGCCAGAGGTGGTAAGTGTGGGGTTGACAGGTCTGGAAGGAAGCGTCAAAATGACATTCTCTGGCCCAACCTGAGTATAGAGACTCCCCTGGGAAGATGAGACGGGGCCACAGGGTCAGGCTAGGGGTCAAAATCCTCTTCGTTGGGGGGCGCGAAGGAAGAGAAGGCTGGAAGAAAACCCTTTAATTTATTGAATGGATGTTTATGGAGCCCCCTTTTTTGTGCTAAGGTAAGAGGTGAAGTTTCAAAGGACAAGTAAGAGGTACCTCATGGAGCTCTCAGCCTATGTGATGTCATAGCTGAGACTCGGAGGTCATTTCAGTCAGGGAAACTGAGGCTCAGAGGGAGGGTGGAAAGGCCTGCCTACAGTCATATGGCCAGTGACAGAGTGCAGTTGTCTTTACCCAGCTCGGGGAGGGAGGAGCTGGGGAGTCAGGGTGCGGGAGGAGGGAGCTAGTAGAAGGGGCTGGAGCTGGTGGCTTCTTTTTTGTTGTCATTCCAGATAGAGGAAGGAAAATCTGGTCATGGGTTGCAGTCCTCTTTTCTCTGCCCATTGAGTGACATTACAACAGAGGGCAGAGACCTCAGAAATCATTCTCTTCCAACCTCTCTCCCATTTCACAGGTGAGCAGACCAAGGAGATGGGGACTTGCAGAGGTTTCTCAGCAGGAGTGCAAATCACCAGTGTGAGTCCGGTCACCCCTCCCTCATTGCCAGCTGTGACTGGGGGTTGGGTTTGCAGTAATCTTGGAAGACTCTGGAGATATGTTCAGCAGATGCTTCCAGGAAGGCCTCTCAGATCATGATGCCTCCCACTGGGCTCCCTAATTCCAGCCCTGCCCTTTGGGGCAGCCCCTCTTCTGGGGAGGTGCTCAGCAGAACTCCAAGTGTTGGTCCTCGGGGACGTTGTACTTGAGCTTGTGGGCTTCAAAGAGGTTGCACAGCTCATCGATGTAGTGCTGGTGGAGCTTATCCACCTCCTCTTGCGAGGGTTGCGATCTCTGCTGCACCTCGATGGGCTTCCCCACTGCAAGACACAGAGGTGGGCAGTGGGCCAGAGCAGGGGCCCTCGGGGCAGGTGCCCACTCCAGTGGTTATCTCTACAGGAAAGTGCTCTTACTGCCATCCCTTTCAACCCTATTTTGAGTGATGAATTCTAATTCTAAGATGTCAGAGCAACTCCAAGATTCAGATATAATAACACCATCACCAGCTAGCATTGCAAAGTGCCTAGAAACATGCTAGGTGCTTCCCATGCATCACCCCCTTTAATCCTCATAACAACCACCTAGGATAGAAACTGTTATTATTCCCACTGATAGGTGAGGCAATAAAGTTTAGAGAGGTTAAGTAAATTCATTAAGGTCACGTAGGCAGGAAGCGTCAGTGCCAGGATTTCACCCTGGGGATGTGTTCTCAGCCTCCAGGCCATATGGTTCTGGGAGTCTGAGATGCCATGCTCAGAAGTGCCTGCGTTTCCAGGATGAAGTGGGCCTGCAGCCCAGGCAGCCCTTCCTTCCTCTTCCGCTTCCACGCTGGCCTGCAGCGCTCCATTCGTTCCAGGCAGGAGTCGGGAAGGCCCCGACTAACCCCCTCCTCTGGCTCTGGCTGGCTGAGAAGGCAGCTCCCCTGTCTTTTCCTCTTTGCAATAGTTTTGGAGGCAGCAGCAGTATTAACATTCATGAAGATACTGCCACACAACACAGGGAAAATCATGGTATAGGGGGTTAACCAAGTCTGTGCTCAACTAAGGTAAGTAGACCTCTCTCTACAGGCTTTATCAGAGGAACCTAGTTGGAATCCAAGAAGAAAGCAAAAGAGGTGTCCAAATAGCTGAAAAATGTGTTAAGTCCATGCACTACAGCTCGTGCCCATTACTTAGAGGAACACCCCCCAGCTCTAATCCAGGCCTGTTGATTGTTACTTTACACACAATTCTAACAGACTTGGGGTGCCCTTCCCTTGTACCCACCTTTCCCAATAAGCCTTATTTATCCTCTGAGTCAGAATTAAATGCTCTTTCTCTGGCATAATAAAAACCCAAACAGCTCCTGATTCAAACCTCAACTTTGTTACTCAAAGGCAGTGTGATTTTTTTGAAAGTTACTTTTTTAAGCCTCAGTTTCCCATCAGTGAAATAGGGATCATAGTCTCTACCTTGAAGGTTGTCAGGAGAAACTGAGCTGCTGCATGTGAGGGAGCCTGTGCAGTGCCTGGCACACAGTAGGCGCTCAGTAATCAGTAGTGACCGTTGTTCTTTGTGCCTTTGTTACAGTTCTCATCCCAGATTGCCTCACATTCGGGGTGTATGCTTGTGTGTCTATTTCCCAGTCTAGAATGTGAGCTCCGTGAGGGTAAGGATGTGTCTGGCCCATCCCCATGTCCCCTTGCAGCTCACAGCCCAGGCCTCTTTCCCTGTAGCTTACCCCCCTCCTAGCCTGGGTCTTCGCTTACCCACAGTGGTGATGGGACGGCGGTAGGGTAAAAGACCAAAGCTGTACTGGAAAATGCCACGACCGTGGAAGAGCGGGAGGGACACACCCATGATCTTCTGCAGCCGGTTCTGGATCCAGCGCAACCAGGAACCAGGAGAGTTCTCAACTTGGTCAAATAGGTCATTCTCCCCAAAGGAGAAGACTGGCACCAGAGGCACCCTAGAGAGAGACAGAGGAGAGAGAGCATGTTGGAGGCCCCAAAGGCCCCAGCTGGTCACAGCTTCCCGCAGGGACACAGAGACCAGAACTGGAGCTGAGGACAGAGCCCTGGGCCAGAAGTAGGAAGCCTGGGTTGTCTCCCAGACCTACCAGAGCCTCCTTTTCTGATCTTGGGCAGGTCCTGGCCCCTCTCAGAGCCACGACCTCCCAGTGGCACCATGATAGATGGACTAGCGTGCTTCAGAGTCCTCCCAGATAGAAATCATCTGCCAACTTTGTAGAAAAATCTCTCCTGCCCCAGCTGGGATTCTTCACAGATGCTCCGAGGTAAGAGAACAGCCCTGCGATATGCCCCAAACTCCATTCTCCCAGATCCTATAGGTCTCGGACCTGGTGCCAGCTTTGGGCAATATGTCCCTTTCCACCCAGGCCCCTTCATCACAAAGTCTCCATTCTGGAAGCTCTTCTGGGTGTTTGGCCATGAGACAGTGCATATCTCACCAAAATAGCATCTGCATTGTGAATGAACTGAGAAATCTCCCTGCCAAAATAGAAACTTCCTTAGTCTCTGCTGTCTTCCCACCAAAACATAGCCCTTGCCAGTCTCCAACTGAACCGACAGCCCTCTTCCCAGATACCCGTGCATCAGCGCAAGCCTGATGAAGCCCTTGCGGTTCCGCAGCAACATCTTGTAGGCCCCCGGCCTGGCGTTCAGTGCCTCCTGGGCACCCCCAACAATGATGCCCAACAGGTTGCCGCCATCCTTCCTGTTCAGAATGTGAGCAGCGCTCTCCTTGTCTGATGTGACCAGCCCTGGGGAGAGAGGAAGGTGGTGGGTTATGGGGTAAGGGGGCAGGGACTGTGCACGTGGATGTGGCCCAACGAGATCACCAAAAATGCCCACAGAAACCTTGGTCCCCCTACCCCACCCACTCCAGCTGGGAGTTCCCTGAGCCTTGGGACTGAGTCCTTTCCCTCATTCCTAACTCCCTCACCAAGTTCATGGCCCCACTCGGTGCTGTGGGAAATGCTTCCTTGTGTCTGGCCTCCTTCCACTGCACATGCTCTTGGGAGAAGTATAAAACCCTTGGTAGCCCTCCCTAAGACTCCCTCCCGCCATGCCCGCAGCCTCATCTACCTGGGCTGCCCAGGTGGAGACTCACCCCCAGACATGATGTAATCCCTGAAGAAGGGGAACCGGAACCACAGGGTCAGCATCATCAGGTGGGGGCGGATGCCAGGGAAAAGCTCAGAGAAGCCTGTGCCCTCAGTGCACATGTTGACAAAGATTCCAGCGGCCAGGACCCCGTGGGGATGGATGGCAGCAAGGTAGTTCCGGGAGGGGTCCAGCTCAGCAGTCTTGACCAGCTGCAGGGACAGGAACCCAGTGAGCCAGAGCTGGACCTGCATCCTCACTTTGATGCTGACATTCTCCAGTGTGACCTTGGGCAAGTCACTACCCATCTCTGAGCCTTAGGTTCTCTGGAAGATTGAGATATGGTGTGTGGCTGCACCTGGTGTGTCACCAGGTGCCGGCTGTGTCTCAGACTCACTGCTGGCTTTGGACAAATTGCTTTCCTCTCAGGCTATCTATTTGTAAAATGGGGACATTTGGCCCAGTCCCACCTAACTCCCCGGGCTGCTGGGAAGCTCAGGTCTGAGAGTGCCCTGCAATGATCAGGACTGCTACGTAACAGGATATAATTTGAAGGTATCAAATGGCCACATGGGGGCGCCACCATGCTGGAAGAGACCCATTTTACAAAACTCAATAAAGGAAAAATTGGCACTTGCAAGAAATATCAGGAGAGGATTCCTGTTAGGTTGCAGACCAGGAGGCCAGCTCTGGTCCCATTTAACACCCTCCCACCACCGTGTTTCTCTGCTCCCCTCACACCAGACCTTCAGTGGCCTTTATCCACTCTTTCCCCAGACATGGGCAGCTCTGCTGGCACAGAAACTTGCCTGGGTCTAGTCAGGACTGCAGCATGGAGGGTGTAGCAGGGACCACCAGGCATTATAGATTGAGTGGAAGAGGAGAGCCATTTGTCATTAGCAGTTTCCAGGTGAAGTGGGGTGAGTGGAGGGGACAGGAACTGAGTTAACAAATGCTGCTCCTGGGCGGTTACTGAACAGGCTGGGTGCAATGTGACCGAGTCTGCAAAGCTTTCGCTGTGGGCAGCGACTGCGGGTGTGTGTGTGTGTGTGTGTGTGTGTGTGTGTGCGTGCGTGCGTGCGTGCGTGCGTGCGTGCGTGTGTGTGTGTGGCGGAAGACCAATTCTTTCCTCATTCTGCCCGGAACCACAGGGCCCACCCTTTACAGTGACAGTGCCAGGGCCTCTGGGAGCCACAGCCCTCAGAGTTAGAAGGCCTGAGGCCCCCTGGCAGGACTGCCAGGGCCTTGTAATTTGCATTTCCTGATTGGGAGTGGAGACTAGCCCTTTCCACTCTGGCCCAGCTTTGCTGAGGTGAAAGTCCATTCTGTCATCAAGCTGAAACTTTCAGCTGGTGACTCCCTGAGGATTCTTGTTGCTGCCTTTGGGGCCTCAGAGGCCATACTGTCCACCCTCAGAGAAGCCTGGAGGGATCTGGGGGACAGCAATGGGGATTTGAGCTTCTCTGCTTCATCCGGCTTCTTCTGTCCTTGACCTGGACTTGGTCTCCGTGCATGTACACACAAACACACACACACACACCACCACCACCACCACCACAGTATGCCCTTCTGTTAACCACCGACACTTTGCAAAAAGGCCAGAGGGTCCACTGTCTCCCAGACAAGGGCAAAATTCTTCCACTCATGCAGTGAGGATTTATTGGATGTCAAAATAAAGACATATAACCAGAGATTTCTCACCACCCTACTGGGAAAGGTGCTTCCTCAGGAACCCATCTGGTGGTGTTTCTTTAAAGACATACCTGGCTTCCTGAACTTAAGCATTTGCGTATAAATTTTCTTTCTCAGCTAGAGGAAAGGTAATTTTGTACGACCTCCATAAAGGCGATTTGGTAATATCTAGCACAACTATAACTCTAACTGACCTTTCAACCCAGCAACGCCAGAGCTGAGGAACTTAGCTACAGAGTTTCTCATGCTTGTGCAAAATGACATCTGTACAAGATTATTAACTGAAGCATCGTCGTTTTCAGTAATAGCAAAAACTTGGCACCCACCCAAATGTCCATCAACAGGACTTATTTAGACAAATCATGAAACGTCTATGGACCACTTTGCAGCCATAGAGAAGTATGATGCAGCTCTTCCTGTCCTAAGAGGGGAAGATAGCCACAGTCACCTGTCAGATGAGACAGCAAGGGGCTTGCAGACAGTTACCAACACGTGTCTGTATGTGGATGCACCAAACACTGGTTGTCATAGTTGCCTCTGGGTAAAGAACTGGGGAGAAGGGGTGTGAGGTGGGACAGGTCTTTTTACTCCATAGGCTTTCAAATTTTGAACAAGAATGTATTACCTATTTTATTTCTATTTTTTATTTTTTAATATTTTTATTGACTTCTAGAGAGGGAGAGTGAAACACTGATCATCTGCCTCCTGCATGTCCCCTAGGAAGGCTGGCTGCAGCGTGAGAGCCCCCAATGGACAGTGGAGCAAACTGAGATGTTGAGGGCAAATGACCTGCCCACAGCCACATAGAGGAGTCTGAGTTCCACCGTCTCCTGCAGAGAGCGCTGGAGAGAGCCAGGAAGCCTCTGCTCCAGACCCAGGGAGACAGTCTGAGACCCAGCACTCTCTCAGGGGTCTTCTCTTTTTTCGTTAAACTTGGAAGGTCCAGGGCACTCAGGGATCCTCTCCAGGAGGCAGTTCCTACATCAGCAGCCTGGCCCTGGAGAACCTGTTCCTGGCCTATCAATGTGCCTCGATAATTCAGCAGGTGAAAAACACAGGGCAAATGGGGTCTGATTCAGAAGTTCTGGTTCTAGCCTTGGGCATCTGATTTGTGACAAATTTCCCAGGGGTTTCATATATATGAATCACCACTCTAAACCCAAGGAGTCTCCTTCTGGGTTCAGGAAGTTGGCTCTGTGTGTGTGTGTGTGTGTGTGTGTGTGTGTGTGTGTGTGTGTGTGTGTGTAGAGAATGGCTTTCTTCCCTATCTCCTCCTATCCTGATGAAAGGAAAGGCTCAGGTATTCTCCCTGGCCCGGGCAGTGGCTCAGTGGGGCTCAGGTCAGGCTTCGGCCTCCCCAGGCTTCTCCGTTGATAGCTTCTCACCCCTGCACAGCCATGCACTCGGTTAACTCACTGGCAGCTGCAAACCCATTTCCTCAATTCTAAGATGCCCCTTTTTTCACATCTTAACATTTTATTATCAAGACGCATCTGCCAGTTGTAATTGGAAGACCTTTTTTTAGTGGTACCTGAAACACTAGTATGTTTTACCACTGAGGATGTCTTATAGTTGAAGTACAGTATGTGCCAGGCATTGAGAGTTGGGAGGAGTGCCCAAGGTGGGGAATTCTCAGCACCTACTGGGTGCCAGGCACCTACTACACCACCACACTTTATCCTGTTAGCACTGTGAGGGAAGTATTGGCACCAATGTCCTCATTTTACAGATGAGGAAAACAATACAAAAGGTTAACTAATTTGCTCTAGGTCACATAGTAAAGTGGCAGAGGCAGGATTTCAACACAGGCAGACTGGCTCTGTGTGTGACCAGCGGGCTTGCCACCTTGTAGGAGTTCTCAAGTAAAAGGTGACAGAGGTTAATGAGGCAAAGGAGTGCATTTCAAGTAAGGGCATCAGCACAAGTGACACAGCTCATGCCTGATGGGGGAAGGAAAGGCAGGCAAGGAGTGAGCAGAGGCCCAGAGTGCAGGGGTCTGCAGGCTGCGGTAAGAATTAGATTTTATTCTAGGTGCAGTGGGACTCACTGCTGGTTTTTTGTTTTTGTTTTTTGGTTTGTTTGTTTGTTTGTTTTAACATTTTAAGAGTCCAGATAAAAAGATAACTGTGGTCAGGACTTAGATAGTTGGGAAAAGAGAAGGTTCAGATCTGGAGGAGTCTGGGAGACAGACCTCAGGCTCTAGAGCAGCAGTTCTCAACTAGGGTCAGTTTGTCTGGCCCTCTTCCCCCTAGAGAGGACATTTGATAATATTTGCAGACAGTTTTTGTTGTCACAACTGGTAGAGGAAAGTGTTACTGGCATTTAGTGGGTAGAGGTCCAGGATGAACTCAGAAATCAGAACATGCCTCCCCATATACACACACAGCAAAGACTCATTCAGCCCTAATGTCAATGGTGCAGAGAAAGCCTCTTGAGAGTTACTTGGCTAGAAGAGGGCATGGCAGCAAAGGCAGTGGAAGTCAACAGGAATGGAGGCCCCCAATCCCTACAGGATAGCAGCTGAGGAAACAGCTGCTCTCTGTGCCAGGTCCCTGTGCCCATGGCAGAGGTAGGACTCCTGGGAGGGTCACAGGAGACAGGCCCTATTGCCTCGTGAAGCAAGACCTACCTTCTCACAGGCAGAACCCTTTCACAGTAAAGGAGCCATTGCAGAAGGAAGTGGGCACCCTGTCCAAGGGCTGTGTAAGCTGGAGTTCTGTCTTGGGGGGGTGGTCAGCCACCTGAGTCTCTCTCTGGGAGGTGGGGCAGGAAATCCCTAGTGATGTCTGCAAGGCTGTGGAGGGACTGAGGGATCATCCCAGGTGGGAGGTGTCCTGCACTACAACATTTCCTGACACCAGGTCACAGCCCTGGCCATAGCGGTCTGTCTCCCAGACTCTTCCAGATCTGATCCTCCTCAGACCTTGGCCTTGTAGACAGTGTTTGCTCCCTCTGGGGTGATGAAATCTTCACAGGGGAAACCCAGCTTCCAGGCACTGGTCTTCATCCTGAAGTGGAGACAGCTCCTCCCACACCAAACAGTGCCTGGTTTGCCATAATTAGCTCTTTAGGAAGCCCATAGGTTGAGTTTAGAAAACTCTAGGGCCCAGAAGCAGTTTCCTAATTTTGCTTGAAATTCCACCACTAGATACTAGTTCACAAAATCACAGTAAGAACTGATAGGACCTCAGAAATCCACATGTATTTGACAGGAGTGCTGAGGCTTGTGAATGCAGGGGAGTTCTAGCTGAGCTGGGACTCCCTCCAGCCTGCCCACCCCAAGGTCTTTGCAGGGCCTTTTGGGAGAGTTGGAGGGTCGGCTGGAAGCCTATGGGGAAGGGAATCTGCAGGCCACAGCCCCACCCCTGCAGGTTCCCAGCCTAGGACAGGCAAAGTCACAGTGGGTGCCATCTTGCCCTCTGCTGCCCACTTGGTGGTACTGCCTGCCCTCTGCAGGTGGTAATGCAACAGGCCTGCAGGGGCACCAATCCTGAAACACTGCAAACAGAATTTCTGCAAAGCAAGTTCACTGTTCCACCAGTGTCAACAGTGCTGAGACTGAGAAACCCTCCTTGATAGCTACAGGGCTGGGAGAAGAGCAGGAAAGGCAGTGTATAGGATAGGCACAGAGCTACCTCAGCATCATTTTTCTGCCAGACCTGCAACTGGCAGCAGCTCCAGGTACAAAGAGCAGATGCTGTCCTTTGCAGGCACTTGGATGACAGCCCCCTGGAGAATTTTCAGTTGAAGAGTCCCAGTTCTGTGAAATGGCCTTCAGTGGCCTCTATTACCTTGTCCCTGAAAAACTCTTTAGCTTAGTCCCCAGGTGTACCTTCTACTTTATTCACACTGAACATTAACATTATGGCTCAACAGCCATACTGTGGTTGGCTTCTGGGCCTGCACTTGTGCTGTTCCTCTTCTTTCCCTGATGAATCAGGATTCAGCTCACAGTGGGAGGTGAGACCACAGAGCGAGAATCCACAAAGCTCTACTAGAGGCCAGAACCTGCCTAAGGTTTCTTTGGCTTAGAAGTTGACATTCACACACACTCCCAGGTTCCAGGCCACACTTTCCCATGGAAACTCTGACCTTCCTGGAACAGGAGAGCAAGCCCTGGCCTGGGAGGAGGAGAAGAGAGAGGAAAGGGAATTTAGAATCTCAAGCTCAGAAGTCCTGGCTGGGGGTAAAGGACTCTGCTCATGACATGCCCATGTCTCCTTTGAGGACTCAGCAAGCCCTGCTTGCCTTTGATGACAATATCCTGGAAGAGCACACCGCAGAGGAAGCCAATATAGCGGGTAAGGAAGACCAGCCCCCACCTGGACCCCTCAGGTTAGCTCAGCACTGCCCACTCACTCTGTGTTTCAGCACGAGATGGAAGTCCCTGTTGGCCAACTTCTTGCCCTCTGCCCAGCTCCTGCCCTGTTGCCTTGTCCTGCCCTGTCCCACCATTGCCCTTTGCCCTGGAGGACCTGCTCACTGGGGCATTAGGGGCTCTTGCATCTCAGTAGTTGCCCAGACTTTGCTAGTTCTTTTTGGACCTCAAGACTCTTAGAAGGAGGCGATGAGTTGTTTAACCTCTGTGAGCCTGTTTCCTCCACTCCTCCTCGCTTTACGAGCTGGGGACCTAACTCCTAGAGGGATGGGAAGAGGTGAGGATCTGAATGGAGTAGAAGAAGCCATGCAGGTGTGAAGATCAGCCGCAGGGCTCTGGGCTATCAGACACGCAGCCACAGGCTCCCAGCCTCCCCACTGACTTGGTAAAATAATCCTAGCTATTAGTTTACTAAGAACCTACGAGCTGCCTAATCCCCTGTCTCATTAAATCCACACACCCAATGATGTATGTGGCATCATCTCCTCTTTACATGTGAGGGAACTGAGGCTCATAGAGACTGTGTAACTCACCCAAGGTCACCCAGCTGGTGTATGGTGGAACTGGTATTAGAACCAGTTCCAGAGACCACATTCTATACCTTTCTTTTCCTTTCCTGTTTCCAGAAAGAGCCAACTGCCCCTGCCTGGCACCTTTCTGTCACTTTGTCTTCCCCATCCTATCTCATCTGGCCAATACACTATCCCTGCCCAGCTGCTTACATCCAGGGTTTAGTTTGTCTCAGGTTCAGTAGAGAAGCTGAAGGGTCTGTTCATTCAAATCCAGGGATCTGCTTCACTTAGGACTGATCTTTGGGTCCAGGGTCAATTGTCCACAATGGCCATGAGGTACCCTGAGTCAGACAGTCAGAGAGTCAAAGGCACTCAAAGTAGGAGAGATCAGTCTGCTTACTGGATACATGAGGAAACTGAGGTTCAGAATGGGGCAAGGCCTTACCCAAGGACATATAGCATGCCAAAGTTAGGAGTAGGAGATAACCTGAGAACCAGTTTGGGGTTCTCTCCCCTTCTCCTTTACCCACAGTAAATATACAAACTTAAAAACCAGTAAAAAACTTGTTGTGTGACCTTGGTCATACCTCTGGGTGTCAGTGTCCTCATCTGATGAAGTGTGGAGCTAGATGGTCTCTTACAACCTTGACTTTATTATCTCCCTCCACCCCAAACCTGGGTTGCAGAGGGGTTTACACCTATAAGATACATATATGTGCCACACTATATGCCTCAGAGAGCTCCTTCAAATCCTGTGCATTCATCAACCCTCATATTGGCCCCACATTCCCGGAGATGGGAAACCATGGCCAGAGAGGAGGTGGACTCTTCCCCATGCCACAGAGTGGTGGTAGCCCTCGCTCTTGCCTCCCAGTCCATCTCTTCTCACTTTCCCCATGGAGATGTGGGACACTATGGCCCTGGCCATGCCCAAGCCAGTCGTAATACTCACCGAGACAGGGAAATAGTCCTTCATGTACTTCCATACGACAGAGTGTCTTATGGCCCAGACCCGCCTGCCACCCTTCCATGGCTTCTCTCGGTCCAGGTACCACCAGGTTGCATACAGGACACTGAATAACCAGAATCTGGTGAACAGGAGGCCTATGAAGACCACAGTGCAGATCTGAGCTGGGGAAGGAAGCAGGTGAGAGGTATGAGAAGCAGCAAACAAGACTGCCCAGAGCGAACCTCCCCATGCACCCAGCACCTGCCCAGAGGGAACCTCCCCATGTGCCCAGCACCGGCAGCACAGTCTTGTCCAGCCCGCAGCCCCAGGAAGAGATCAGCTTCCCACGCCTTCAAGGAGGAGAGAATGCAGCCGGCCCTGAGTCATACTCGGAGAGCGGATTTTAACTGAGGGAGGCCTAACTCCAAAACTCATTTTTTCCTCATTGCACCAGCTGTCTTATTCACTTTGGTCTCCCCCCTCCACCACCCTCCCTCCAGTATAGTTGACCCTTGAACAGCACGGCTTTGAACTTCATAGGTCCATTTACATGCGGATTTTTTTTTCCCCAGTAAAGACAGTACAGTACTGTAGATGTGTTTTCTCTTCCTTATGATTTTCTTAATTACATTTTCTTTTCTCTAGCTTACTGTATTGTAAGAATACAGTATACAATACATATAAAATACAAAATATGTATTAACTGTTTATGTTATTTGTAAGGCTCTGGTCAACAGTAGGTTATTAGTAGTTAAGTTTTGAGGGGAGTGAAAAGTTATACGTGGAGTTTCGGCCACACAGGGGGTTGGCACTCCTAACCCCCATGTTGTACAAGGGCCAGCTGCAGTCTGCATTCACCAGGCACTCAATGAATGCCTGGTGGACAACTGTATTAACTGTTTTTAGTTTCCATACTTTGGGACCTCAGAGGAAAAGGAGACACTCTTTCTTTCCAGACATCTGTCTGTTTACCCTCTGCCTCATCTTTCTAAAGACACATCCAGCCAGGTACCCCCTCTAATGAAAGCCTTCCATGGTTTCTACATAACTTCAAGGCACAGCCCAAGCAGCTCGGCCTGGCATTCAAGCTCCGAGTGGCTTCCTGTCCCAGCCTCACCTCACTGACGCAACACACCTAGCACTACAGCCACGCTAAACTGCTCAGTGTTTCTACAGCTCAGCGAGATCTTGCAATCTCTTAGCTTTTGCTCGTGCTACTTTCTCTGCCTGCAATGCTCTTTCCTAGTGGAGGAGAAAAGTCCCCACTTTCCTTTGGCATTGTACCAGAGGTCCTGGCCGGTGCCACATGGCAAGAAAAATGAATGGACAGCATTAAGACTGGAAAGGGAGAAGCAAACTGTCTCTTCACAGACACACAATTCAATATACAGACTATCCTAAGAATTTACAGAAGCTACCAGGACTTATATGGGTTCCACAAGGTCGCAGGACCTTGGGAAAGAACATTTGCACAGAGGATGGAAGGAGTACTGCAGAACAGGAGGAAGGAGACAGGATACAGGG